TGCTTGAACCACAATGGACTCTCGAGGAGGTATGGAGACAGAATTCAACAGTTTAAGATCTAATGCCAGAGTGTCAATTTGTTTATCGTATGGAATAGAAGAGCGACCATAATATGATCGAATAGAAGCTTGTTATTTATCATATTCAATTCTGGCTCCTGTGTTGTAACACCAATTTCCACCCAGAATAAAGTCGGCGTTCAGTGATTTAACCATCAATGCAGTAATAGGTGTAATAACATCATTTATATTTTTCGTTTTTTCCTATAATATATACTTTGTCTTCGTAAAATTTATTATTTACAATCAACAGCTAGACGCTGCACGTTGTAATCGAAGCGTCTAACTGTTGATTTTAAATAATAAATTTTACGAAGACAAAGTATATATTATAGGAAAAAACGAAAAATATAAGTTATCCGACTTCGTATATCAACAAAGACCCTATTCTAATTAAAATGTAATAACATCATTGACTGTGATATTTAATTAGACTTCGCCCAGTATTTTAAGTGACGTAGTTTGATCAAGGTGTGCGGTAAATTTTGATCAGTGTATTGACGAATGTCGCAACTTACCAAGAGTTTCCTGAGTTATAAATGAATGTGTAGCATCAGTATCGACAACGGCTCGGATTCTTGTCCCATTGACAAACACACCGATGTATATCAACGAAGGATTTGTGCGGTAACAGGCTCTTTTTGGAGGACGTTGAATACAAGTGCGGATGAAATGTCCGACTTTACCACATCCAAAACAGCGTGGAGATAGTTATATTTTATGAAACAGGAGTAAGTATATTAATAAGCGGTTTTCATTTCAAGGACTTGTTTTATGATTTCAATCCATTACTTAGAATAACAAAAATTTCCGTTATTTGTACAGTGAATAGAGAAAACCTTTAGAATTCATATGTCTGAACGAATATTATTCAACTGAATAAAATCACTTAGTTGACAGAAACATCGGTTCGGTTTTCATTTCAAGAGCTTGTTTCATGATTTCAATCCATTAGTTAGAATAACAAAACCAATTCAATTCTCCACAAGAACCTAAAAAAGAACTTAAAAATTCACGTCTTTTCTGTAGAAAGTCATGTTTCTCCAGAAGAATTCATTTGATAGAGTCTGAACTGCTGATCACGGGAAACTACTTTATAACCATAATATAAAAAAGGCGGAGAAAAAGTTTTACTCTAAGTTTGACGTTCTTGCACCTTATATATTTGTTTTTTTTCATCCGTGATATTCAAGTTTTCTTAGTGAATGAAGTAGACAGGATAGAAAATAATCAAGATACTTTTATTGCCCAACAATGGAAGTTTCGAAGACCTGGTATAGATGATTACATAAACAATTCAAGTGTCCACTTTGCGATTCAGCCAAAAATTTCAATCAAAAGACGGTTGCGTAAAATCTCTTAGAAAAACAGATAGAAAAATTGTTCTAAAACGCCAGTCAAAGTTTGGTTTTCTTATAAAATGACAATGTGAGTATTACTTTTCGATCAAGAATGGTGTCAATCTTGAAAAGAAATTAACTATCTATCAATTTAGGTCGTTTTTTAAATTTTGGAACAATAAGTATGTCAGGAATCTTAAAATAAACACTTAAAAGCTTTAATTTAAAGTTTTCTAATAAAAATTAAATTTATCTTTGATTTAAAGTTCGTATTTGGAATAAAAACTGTACCGCATAATATATTCTGAGTATTCTAAGAAAAACGTTTTCTAAAACTCCTGCAAGCTGGTAGGCCGTTAGGCGACCAAACTGATGTGAAATTAGTTAGAAATATAACTAGATATGTCCGCTTCACATATGTGGCTTCGAAGCTAACAAAAGTGACGAGATACTAGCCCAAAGATCTCACAACATCCGATACCATAGCTAAACCAATGAAAATCAAGCTCTCTCTTAACTCATATTTTACAGAGGACATTTGAGACTGATAATCTATAAAGCAAAATCGATACGTTATCATCATAACTTTTATTTGGTTCTTCGGAGACCTAATGAACACTCCATATGGAAAAAGATTGACTTTCATTTTGATTATGAAAAGATACGTCACGGTCTTCCCTGCTGAAGGAAGCAAGCACAGGTTCATCTCTTTTCAATCAAAAACTTTTCACAAAATATCCCGCCACTGGTTTTTGAACTAGTATTTGTTGGACAGATATAAACTACTCTTTCTTAAATTTTCAGCTTTATATAATTACCATTAACACGATGTTCTTTAAGAGAAAATCTATACGCACCATTAAAGAAAAAAGAGAAAATAAAGTTTTATTATTCAGTATTCATTGATTCCCGCCACTGGTATTTTCTGCACTGTTGGTGCGTGAACACATTGATGTGGCAATGGGTGCGACTGAGTGGGAAATGTTGCTTGTGGTCTGATTGTTGTCTGTGACCAATGTGGGCTGAGTGCGACAGACGGACATTGCTTGCTGCTGAAAGTTGTTTTGTGGTTGTGGTGGTGCCATGATTGGTAAATTAGACATTGAGAACTGCATTGGCATTTTAGGATTTTGCATATGTGATGTTTGCAGACGTTGCATATCTTGATTAGTTAAATGAACACGACGTTCTTCCTTTCGTTGTACTACTGCAACATATAACGATTTCGAACCAACAGCCCTACCGTTCATTTCTGTGACCGCCTTTGTTGCTTCATCAGGAGCCGAGAAACAAACGAAGCCAAATCCTTTTGATCGTTCGCCATCGGTCATGACCTACACAACGAAATAAGTATGTACTTCACTCCGCTTTAAAACAAGAAACTAAGTAGACATACTTTTGCACATGTAATTGTACCAAATTTGCTAAATTCTTTTTTCAAATGTTCATCATCAATTGTATCATCCAAATTTTTGATATATAAAGTCACACCTTGATATTTGTTCATGCGCTCTTGACGTTGCAATTCTTTTCGACATTTCATTTCAGCCGTACACTCATGTTTCTTCAGAAATCGTCCAACGTACAATTGCTTATCACCAAGTGTATAATTGTTCAATCCTTTCACAGCCGTGAAAACAGCAGAGTAGAACAATAAAGGTCGTTAAGATAGACGAAACACTCGCCTCTTCAGCCATTTCTGGATTTTCGAAACTACAAAAACCAAAACCTTTTGATTGACCATTTTCATCCAGTGGTACCTGAATAATCGAAAAATGAAATGTCTGCACTTTTGAAGAAAACTTCATCTTGCGTACTTTACAACATGTTATTTTTCCATATGGTGCAAATAGGTCATATAATTTTTGTTCGTTCAGCTGATCACCAAAATTTTTAACAAAAATATTTGTAAATTTTCGAGGACCATCAATATCAGACCGTTGATTTCGTGGCAAAAATCGACCGACATATCTACAGGATAAAAAAGAAATAGATCGTATCAAGTATTCGGGCGTACTTGAGACAAAATAGTAAGCTATTTTGTCTCAAGTACGCTAACAATCAGTCTACGATGAAAACGACTAAGCACTCAACTTTCTTTTTTTCAATACTATATAACTGTTTCTTCATGCGTTATAACAAGCAAGTGTAAGACAATACGGTTATGCATACACTTTTCTATCAGCCAGTAATATTTCGTTAACTTTGTTTATAGCGTTATCTAGAAGAAAAGAAATACACAGATGGAAAATTTGTCGGTCATTTACCGTATTGAGATAACATACCAGCTGCCTCTTGCGATTCAAAATGAACGAATCCAATACCTTTACTTTGTCCTTGATCATCAGTCAAAACCTTAAAAACGATAAACAACTGCTATTTACTAGAAGATAAATAAATGGTTTTTCTGTTCCTTACTTTGCACGATAAAATATTTCCAAATGCAGAAAATGTATCATGTAACGATGTACTACTAATACTTTTGTGCAAATTTTTAATAAACACATATCCAATACTAGATTTTCGCAGTGCTGGATCTCTTTGTGACCACATAATTCGTATTGGTTTTCCATGTAGTACATCATAATTCATTGTATCAAGAGCTCGTTCAGCTACGAAATAGAGTAAAATATGTTTCTACTCGAATAAAAGAAACAAACGATGAAATTTTAATGCATACCATCAGCTAGGTTTTGAAAATTGACGTAAGCATAACCAAGTGAGCGTCGAGTTATTAGTTCACGACAAACACGAACTGATAAAACTGGACCAGCCGAGGCAAATTTATCAAACAACATGACTTCGGATACATCCGGATGTAAATCACCTGTATAGAAAGACAAAAAACATTTGAAGGGAGAATGTAACAAAATGATGACGATACAACAGTAGTGAATTATGAACCAAAATTTTCTCCTCTGTCTCATTTGAAATTGAGAAATATTTAATTTCCACTATTCGTTTAATTTAATATCAGTAAAGGACAACGGTTTTAAAATCAAATCTGACGTATTAACTGCAGCAATTTCTGGCTTCATTTTCTTATTTCAGTTAGAAGTTTTATGGAATTTTCAGCCAGTAACGGCCATTATCAACACAAATGAATAAAGAATTACACTGAAGAAGTAAAAAATAAACACCATTTTTGTCTGTTTCGTGACTTATTAACTTCGTACTTGATGAAAAACGACTTTCTCCTCAATTTTGTTTTCCATTCCTCCACTTTTAGTATACACTTAAGCTCTTACGTGCATTAAAAACCTGACATTATTATCAGTAATGAATATTACTGTCCGAAAATTCCATAAAAGTTCTAATCGAAATAAAAAGATGAAGTTCGAAATTGCTGCAGTTAATATGTGAGATTTAATTTCAAATTCGTTAGCGCATATTTTACAAGTAGGACATCACTAACTTCTCCGATTGAGTTATAGTGTAAGACTATGGTCAAGGTTATTGCGTAAGAACATTTAACGCTATGGTGCAAGAACATTAACCCATGTCCTGCAGAAAGTTCATATCTGCACAAGATCTGTCAAGTTTCTTGATCTCAAAGAATGTTCGCCAATATTTGTCAAGATCTTGTCAACTTTTTTTTGAGGACTCTGCCTGAAAAAACCTTGATCAAGATCTTGTCAAGTCTTTTTGGAGGAATTTGCCTGCAAAAATCTGAATCAAGATCTTGACAAGATATGAAAACTTTTCTGTAATTAACAAAATCTTTGCTAACAAAAAAAGTTATCAATTATTTTGATTACGACATGACTCAGAGGTTCGAC